AGACGCTGACAGCAACCGCCGTCCTCAGAGCCCTCTGCCTGCCAGAAGCAGGACCCCCGTCCTCCTGAAAGACTGGACTGGAATCGTACCAAATCCTTGTAAATCTTGTGTTGAACACCCAGCAACTTAAAAGGTGCAGGCTTCCCACGCGTGGTGGGTGGTGTTCCCGGAGCGGGAGTCGGTGGGGGGGCGATATTTCAGGAATTTCATGCGTATTTACCATCCCCCCCCCGTCTCCCTGTCCAAACACAAACTTACGGAGCTCATTCCGCCCCGTGTCTGGGTGGGGCTTGACAAGGCAGGTGCTAACGGGGCCCCTTGGAACTTCTCTGCCCATGCACGTCGTCTAGGAAGAGGCCTGAGCCAGAGCCAGTCAGGGCTGGAATGTGTTCCTCGTGGTGTTTCGGAGGCCACGGCGAGGAATTGTTTGATTCTGTAAGATGCTGTTTCTGCGGGAGGGAGCAGGGTCAGAACTGGGGGCGTCCCTTTCCATTCAGGCGTTTGCATCCCCAGCTCTCCTGAGCTGGGAGCCACCTAAATCCTCCAGAGCGACCAGAGCACACGCAGCGGGCAAGGAGGCAGGAAGTTTAGAAATTGCACTTTCCAGCTCTTCAGGTTCCGAGAGTCTTCAGTTTATCTGCAGGTAAAGTCTGAACAACGTGGGGAAAGTCACAGGCAGTAAGTTAAAAGGGCTTTTGGAAACAGGAGTGAGAGGGCAGGGTTTGTCTCCAAACTACTTGAATCAGGGCCTCTAAATAAATGCACGGATGCTACCGCACGCTTGACTGATGGGACGGACAGTAGCCAGGACAGAGTCAGGGAGCCCTGGGCTCGGGCCAGGACAGCGCCCGCCCCTCGCAGCTGCCCGGCCTCCCTGCAGGCTGCCCCGGCGGGGGTGCCCGCTGAGCCTCTCATCCTGGTGGTTTCTGAAGGGTGTGTGAGGGCTGCTGGCCTGAGCTTTGAGAGCTCCGTCAGAGGCACCTCTGCACAGTTCACCATGCAGGAGGCCCCCGAGGGCTAGGCCTGGCCCTGCAGGCGCTAACCCAGTGCTGCCTCCCACACGTGTGGCTCCTTCCTCTGTCCCTTAAAAAAGATGGCGAGGAGGGAGGGTGTGAGGAGGAAAGAATGACTGTCTTGTGCAACAGTGGACACTGCTCAGAGCCACTTGAATTCAGAGCCTGGCTTTAAAGTGCTCACTTGCAAAGATTTCCCGCAGCAAACACTGTTGCCATCGGTGGTGCTTGGTCCCTGCTGGTCCCGCTTGGGTGCCTGGGAGGCAGCCGGTCACCGCAGGCCTGAGCCCTCAGGAGCTGCCTGAGCTGCAGAAGCCTGGGGCCTGGGCGCTTCTGCTGCTGCCACCACTGCGCAGGAGAGCAGGGGCCGGTCTCCCTCCTGGGAGCTGAGCTCTGTGTCTCAGGATGAGGGCGCCCCCGGGACCCGGCTCCGCCTCAGGAACGCCTCCCGCCGTGTGGGCAGGGCCCCAGCGCACCACCTCCAGCGCCAAGCAGACGCCCTTTGGCCAATTTTGAAATGTAGCTGCTATGGTTCCGACTTTATTTTAAACAGCAAATGGAAAAGTAAGGTGGGGGAGGGAAGGGAGGATGGAGACTGAACGGGGCCCACAGGGGTTCGGGACACCATTTTTTAAAGTCACCTAGTGTCCTCCTGTTCCCACTCGGACGCTGGTGTTAGTACCCCTGGGGGGGCTGGCCATCGCTGCTCGGCTGATTATGGCTGATGTGCGTCTGCACTGACACGAAACGCTTCACTCCGGGCCGTTACAGCCTTCACCCGTATCACTGGGGTGAGGGGGACGGTCCCAACCTGCTGCCCCCAGCCCCCACCGTGCCCATGGCCTTGAACGGACCGAGGTCGCTGACGTGCCCTTGATCTCTGTGTTGGACTCCCCCACAGCCCGGCCCCGTTCTGGTTCTGGGTTTGAATTCTCCTGGGGTGGGAAGGTGCAGCCCTGCCTGGGCGCCCCAGCTGTGGCACCCACAAGGGATAAGCAACAGTTTCTCCAAACCCCATGGGTCAGAGCCAGCCCCTCCTCAAGTGAGGGAGTCTGTCTGCCCTCGCGGTCACCCCCCCGCAGCGGCCGGGATCCCCCGACTGGACGACCTCAGGCAGCGAATCTGACGACAGCCGCTGGCCTCAAACAGACGCTGTCTTCTCCCCTCCAACACCACTGCCCCTCGTCTGCGGAGGCAGAATCCTTGCTCTGGGGACTCAGGGGCCATGGCAGGGACAAACAGGTGCCCAGGGGCTGTGTGGACCTTGACAAACCGTCCTCGTGTCCAGACACCCAGGCAGCTCGGCTGTGACGGCCCAAGAAATGTTCAGACGGACAGAGCATAGAGGGTGCTCTGCGGGCACAGACCCTGTCCAGCCGTGACCGTGACCTGGGGCTGGGCCGGGGTGGGCTGGGAGCTGCTCAGTCCCTGACCAGCTAGGGGGCGAGTAACCAGGCGCTGGGGACAAGAAGAGGCTCCCCTTGGGAACAGGATCAAAACAATGGAGACTTTGGTCCAAACAGAATTTCCCATAGTTGAATAACCCTACGTTCAGGACAGACGCCCCGCCCCGCCTCCCGCCTCCCGAGGCAGGGTACTTAAAGGGCGGGCATCTCCGTAAACAGGCCGGTTCCTGAACGTGAGGGCGACCACCACTCTGTCTCCTGGTGGTCATCTGGAGAGGCTGACGCTGGGGGGCAGTCCCCCGGAGAAGATGAGTGCAGATGGCTGGGGTGGGGCAGTTCTCTCAAATCCTTTGCACAGTGACCCACGGCCGCTCACAGGGTGGCTCGAGGCAGAAGCAGCCTTGCCGGTGTCACTTGGGACGCCCACGAGCCGCGTCCCCAGCAGTGTCGTGGGTGGGGAGCTCGAGGGGTTCTGACCCGAGG